TTTGCATAAACATCCGTAGTCCATTTATTACATTAGAGATTGAAAGATTAGCTAGTGAAGCGCCAAGTCGATGTATTTACGGCTGTAAATATAATAAAATAATAATGAGTAATGTATAAAGAAAGAGAAAATAGAAAAATTTTCTATATAATTTATTGTATAATTTTAAGAAAAAAAAACAAAAAAAAAATAATTTCTATCGTTTCTATTTTGTGTAATTGAAAAGTTTGATTGTGTTTGTAGATGTATGGAGCGCAGGATGCGTAGTAGCAGAATTGTTGCTTGGTCAACCAATATTCCCTGGCGACAGTGGCGTGGATCAGCTGGTTGAGATTATCAAAGTGCTCGGTACACCTACACGAGACCAGATACGTGAGATGAACCCCAACTATACCGAGTTCAAATTTCCACAAATTAAGGCGCACCCGTGGCAAAAGGTACCAGATCATTCGATCTGCATACTCGTCACATTACGTATTATCAGTGCGCAAAACGCAATACCATCGTGATAATCTTTTGCATATTTTCGTAACTACGTAGGTGTTTGACACTTTCGTGACTAACAGGGTAAAATTGGTGAAATGGTATGCACTGGTTTGAATAATTTAAACTTTATAGCAAGAAACAGAGAATTATTTGCAATATTTGAAATATTTGTAATTTCTAAAATTTCATTCTCGTTGGAACTATTACATCTTGGAGAAACAGAGATTCAATTTAAAATTTAAATATTTGACATCCAAATAATTTAAAATTAAATTTAAAATTCAAACGAAATTATATTGAGAAATAGTATTGTCTGTATATATATTTAGTAAGTTTTAAAATTTTATTTTCATTATATTCAAGCAAATACAAAATTATCTTTAAAAAACTTCTTAAAAATAGAAAAAAGAAAGAAACGTAGTATTTAAATCAGTGCATGCTCTTCACTTTTCCTTTCGGAGAGAAGCATTATAATTGGATTAATAAGATTCTTCTTGCGTGAGAAAAATCGAAAAAAATTAACAAAGGATTTCTCAGAGGGTAAGACCTTATTCCTCGGTCTCGTTCCTTCTAACTAAATGGTTTTGCTACACAACTCAATCCTAATCATATTCATCAACACATGGTTACTCGTGGTTACAGTTTATGCTTCAACGAATGAGTGGACTAAAGTGTTCCACGGAGCACCAAAAGATTAGAGTAAGTGGTTCCCTGTTGAAAAGGCAACATTTCTTTGTTATTTACTGGCTGGCAAATATTCCTTTCTTTTTCTTTTATCTATGATTATTACTAACCAGTGTAACCAACATTTTCAGCGGTAAACAAAAAAAGACAATTGAGCGGAATATACGATACTCGAATATCACTAAATCAAACGGAGGAGCGACAAGCCCCGATGGCTGAAAAAAAAATACCATCTTCATTTCAATTCTTCACATCACAAATCGCTCAACGTGCATCTTTTCTCGAACTCATGTGTAATATCCATTTTTCTATTTCTCATAGTTATCTTCATCATCATCATTATAATCTTCAATCTTTTTTTTTTTCACTAACAAAGCAGGATTGGGCAAATTTTATTTGAAATGAAGATAAAAAATAATTTGATACGAAGAATTATCATTTGTGTTTGAAGAATCATTTTATCTTCAAATCAAATAACTCGTTTCCAAATAATTTTTTATTTGAGTTGATATGTTGAAATAAAGTAACTAATAAAATAATAAAATAAATTCATTAAAGTAATCCCATTAGAAGATGAAATTTATACAATAAAATCAGAAATTGTTTGAAAGATTTGTAAAAACAAATACAAAATACAAAATGAAATGAAAAAAATTATTTTATTCGATAGCCAAGTAATCAAATAATTTATAAAAAAATCATTTTAAAAAATCGATATTCAAATAAACAAGGATTATTTCAACATCTAGCCAAATAAAATGATATGTTATTTAAATGAACATTTTTCAAATATTTTATTCAAATAAAATACAGGCCCAAAGCTGTAATCCCAATGTCGCTAATATTTTAAATAGAAAAAACAAAGTTTGATAATTCTAACATTAAAGAGAACATTTAAAAAAGCTTGACGTTGACACGATAATTGTAACTTCTAAAATCTCGATGTATCACTTACTCTAATGTTCTGGTGGTGAACGAAAAAAATTTTCCAGTGTCGTACAAAAATGGTATGCAGTTGCTCGCATTGGTTTAGCGTTCTTTTTCCTTTTCATTATTTTATTTTATTTTTTGTACATCGCAACGAGTGACGACAGGTTGTTCCTAAAACGGACATATTATGTTTGAGATCTAAATTTATTCTTTCATTTACTGTTTCATGTTTTTGTCATGTCTTTATCGCATATGTTGTCAATATGCATCCTATTGTTTTTCGTTGGTCATGTATTTTATTTATCGAACAATCTTCGTCTGTATGATTTGTATTCTTTTCGAGTAAATACGTTTTGTCAAAGAAAAAAGCGACGAACACTGGATGAATGTGGCTGAACCTCAGACCTCGGATCGATAAACCTTTACACTGGAACGAATGCCAGAATAGAAGCATCTCATAACTACTAATATCGGCAGTAATACACCTAATACACTGATCAATTTTACAAAAGTTTCAACTGAAACTTCCAATGAACATTCTTTCTTTTTTTTTTTTTTTTTTTT